CTTCTGTGAGAAGGGCTGGAGGGAGGTGTCGGCGTGTATGTGGGGCCAAGCATTCTGTCTTGGCCCGTGAAGCAGGGATGCCTGTAGGCCGCTGCCTGGAGGGCTGGGAGCTTGCGAGCTGCTGGTTGGGAAGGGTCAGGGGTCTCGAGTCTGCGATGGGTGTGGGGTGAGATGGGGCATCTGGAGGTTACTGTGACCGGGTGGGCTTTGACTATCCTAAGGCTGTCTGTCTTCATCATACAGGCAGTGTATGTGCTGGGGATGAGCTGGAGGTGGGGGTCCAAAAGCTTCTAGGAAGCGCGTCGGTAGAAGGTTAACTTTAGCTAGGGAGTGGAGGGAGGGTTGGAGGGAGGCTGGGAGGCCGTGGCTCCCGGGGGCCTGAGTCAGAGCAGGGGTTTGGGGGGGTGGGCAGGAGGTGATGAACGCGAGCTCTACCAAGAGGGCCGAATGGAGGGCTTGGCAACTGCCACGTGTGTGGTGTGAGGGAAGGAGAGAGCGGGGCGCAAGGCGTGCGTCTCCTGCAAACCGTGTCTTTCAGCCCCTGTTGTGTCCCAGCCTCTGGCGCTGGACATTCTACACAGGTATTTTATTGTACTGACAGCCCTGGAAGGTTGGGGAAAAGAGCGCCCGTTTCAATAGAGAAAGTGGCTGAGCGTCACGATAAAGGACTTAGCTGCGCAAGGTCGTGCGTGCCCCATGGGGGCATCGGACTGGCACCAGGGTCTGTCTGGCTGCCAAGTTCATGCGCTTCCCGCTGCACCCCAGCACCTCACCTTCCCCCAGCGGAGAGGGGGCGGACCCTCGCCAGTTCTGGTGTCACCAGCTGGAGGCGGGAACAGGGGAACAGCTCAAGTTCCTTCCACCCAGCTCTCCTTGCAGCTACTTTTCCTGCTTTGCCCAAGTGTTGCTGTGAACTTCCATCTTCTGCTTTACAACCGGAAAGAGACAGGGCCTCTCGGAATGTGCTCTTTTCCTCTGGGAGGACAGTGAGCTTCAGGAACGCTGGCTCTCAGGGCCGTGTGGGCAGAGCTTGGCGGGCGGTGGCAGGGAGTGCTGTACCCTGACCTGAGGCTGATCGGGGGGTGGGGGGTTGTGCTTGTCCCCCCAGGTTAGCAGAGAAGGCTTGGAAGGCAGCCCGGGGACAGTGCTGCCCGTTGAGGTGGACAAACAGGCCCGCAAGAAAGCCAGCTGTGACACTGTCCCCTGGCTTCTGCTAGGACCTCTAGAGCCTGGCTGCTTGATCCTTGATGCACGTATATCTTTGCAACGTAACTGGAGCTTGTGCCTGGATTCAAACGTTCCCTGCATCCCCCCCTTAACCACGAGGCATTTCCTGCTCCCCGTCCAGAACGTGGCATCGGAAGTCTGTATATTAAATTCGTGTTTGATGGATCAGGATCTTCCAAGGCCATTTGTCCTCTTTCCCCACCCCCATGACCACGACCACCTGGTGAGCTGCTCAGTGTCACCAGGCAGCCTCTGGCAGCGGGGCTGGGGTGGGAGGGGGTGGGGAGGAGCAGAGCTGAGGATCCTGACCTTTCTGCATGACTGGGAACCAGGGAGGGTGGGGTGGGGAGGGTGGCGTGTGAAGACAAGGGCCTGATGGAGGCAGTGAGGTTTTGCAGAACCTGGGGCTGGTGGAGCCTTGCTGTGCTGCCCTTGGGCCAGTGGCAGCCTCCAGTCCCGCTCAGGCCCCCGCCCATGGCTCTGGGCCTCCCGAGTGCACATAGGCCACGCAGCTGAGCTTGGACTAGAAGAACATGCCTTTGCTCTGCATCTCCCTTGAAAGATTCAGATTCACCGCATTTTAGTGCGCGTTGCATTCGCAACTTGCAGTGCGCTTTGTCCTCGCCTTGTTAATGTGGTAGCATACATAGCAAACCCATGAGTCTCCTCCGGGGTGGACTGAGTAGCGTTTCATGTGGTTAGAATTGTGTTTGCCATCTCCCACGATCTTTCCACGTGCACATTCGAAAGTTACTCGAACGAACGGTAATTACAGGTTTGGAAAGTGGAGTGTAGAGAGAGCAGTTGTGAAGGGACCCAGTGTTAGGTGCTGGCGGGGCTCACGGGGCTGGAGGGTGGCCGGGCTGGGACGTGAGAAGGGCAGGGCGTTGGGTGAGTGGGATGTGCATTTCAATTGCGTACTTCCTGCCCCTCACTGAGCTCTCCTGGGGAACAGAAGAGAATCTGCTGGGCCACCTAATTAAACTTGTCTGGCTCTAATCTCATGCTGGATTTGTGCAAATAGAAGGCCTGGGAACTGCAAATGGCAGCCCCTTCACATGAAAGGTGTATTTGCGGTGGGCATTGTGAGAGTCTGCAAGCTAAGTGGGGCTTTGCAAAGGACACCCAAGAAGGGGGCTGTGTATGATTGGAAACAGAAAAGAATGTATTGCCTTCTACTCTTTAGGACCACAAAGGGTGCTGGGTGGGGGGGGGGCGGTGCGGACACAGGAGTCCAGACTCCAATCCTTCTGGCACAGAACTGCCCAGCGTTGTTGGTTTTCCCGAGGCCCTGAGCAGGGAGCCCTGGTTAACCGGCCTGCGTCCTGGGCCAGGGCCACCAGACAAGCCTTCAGGACAGGACGTCTCCCTCCAACACGAGTTACCCCTCGTCATGACTATTGGTGCATGAAAGCAGAGTCTTGAATGCGTGGGGGTCTCTTAAAGTGCAGAAACACAAGTTCTAATTCCTGTTTTTCCCTAGTCTTCCCTTGCCCTCAGTGAAGTCCTAGCATGGTGTTCATTCCTAAATTTTTACACAATAACCCACACCGTGGATAGTCATGTGCGCGTTCTGAATGTTGTCCTGTAGCATAGTAAACAGAAGAAGGAATTTTGGAAGCAGTAGAGGGATTTGCCTTGGAGCAAGTGCTTTAACCTTTCTGAGTCTTAGTCTCCTCGTTTCTAGAATGGGGTAATGCCTGTTGCACAGGACTGTGGTTTAACTCCACTATGGTACTGGGCCCCCACTAGCCCTCTCCAAATCTGAGGGGAGCCGTTAGTTAAAAACTAGCAGCAGGTGCTCAAAGAGAAAAACAGTCCCCCAATTGGATTGGACATCTTCCCAGAAACGTGCATGGTCCACCCAAGCCACCATAGCACCCACTGCTCTGTCCAGATTGGCTCTGGAGTCTCCCATCAGGAGGGACTGACCTCTCCTTTCACGCAGGTCAGGGGCAGGGGTGCCGAGGAGAGTGCTGAGCGGCAACTTCAGGAGAACTGGGCTGGGGGAGCGGTGATGCCATCCATGACCTACTGAGCTGTGAGCTTCTGGAAGGTTTACCTTCTGTTTTATCATCATTTTTGTCATTCCATTTATTTCCCTATTAGGATATATGGAAAACTTAAGCCGAGAAGGGCCTTGCAGTGGGGTAGCATGGAAATAGGGTGCCAAGAACTCTTTAAAAAGGTTAAAATGTCCTTCCTGAAATAGACGCCACCATTGAAAATACATCACCCGTGTGTTCAAACTGAAACTCTTCCACAACACAGTTGTAGATAAAGAAGGCTCTAAGGGGAATATCTGAAAATGACCATGTATTTGCATGCCTAGCATTTACAGAAGCATGCCTAGGTGAACTCATGGGGCTGCCTGTGCAGAGGGTCTAACTCAGTCCTGACAACCTGGCCGATGAGGCGGTGGTTCTCTCCATTCCGTAGTCTGCCCATCTCTGCACATAGGGGGTGTGCAGTGGGACTCCGCCTCCAGGGGCCATACTCCAACGCCAGTCCTGAGGGTTGCACAGAGCAAGGAATGCATTTTGTAAAAGGTTGCTTTGGAAATCTTAAAGCCAAGGGGCGCCTGGGTGGCTCAGTCGGTGAAGCGTCCGACTCTTGATTCCGGCTCAGGTCATGATCTCAGGATCCTGGGATCGAGCCCCGCATTGGGCTCCGTGCTGGGTGTGGAGTCTGCTTAAGGTTCTCTCTCCCTCACCCTCTGCCTCTCCCCCTGCTTGCTCTCTCTCTTTCTCTAAAAATTAACAAATCTTTAAAACAGCATCTGAGGCCGAGGCACAAGTGCTGATGAGTATGTATGTTCAACTAACGAGAGACCCAGTGACAGGTATTTTGTTGTGAATAAACTCAGCATTTGAGTTGCTGCTTCACCTCTCGCTTTCCCCAGCATTGCTTGATTCATCAGGATGTGTGAATCCTTTCTCTGCAGACGAAGGAACGAGCTGGGGGAGGAGTACACTAGGAGCATGAACCCATGGGGTGGCCTCCCTAGATCTCAGTCCCGCCCTCCTGCCTCACCCGGACTTGGAATGTGCGGCGTTCTCTGCCAACGACAGCTGAACATCACCGTTCATTCTGGGGCCGGAGAAGAGATAAATCACCTCAATCCAGATCTCAGGTAAAGAGCTTAAGGTGAGGGGGGAGGGGCGGAAAGAAAACACCTGACAAATGATGTTAGTAAAAACAAAAACAAAACCCAAAAAACCAAGAAGCAAAATGAAAACCTGAAAAACAATGGAGGAAAAGAAAACCCCCTCTCTGATCTGGAAATTTCTTAGACACGGACATAGAACATGAATATGCTAGATCATTAGGCCATTTTGGATTTGTGACTACATACGAAATAGATTATTTTCAATTCCCAGTGGGTATAAAATAAGGGAAGTGAACCTACTTAGAGTGGGCATTAGTGGGATTCTAAGCTTGATTCGTGCCAGGAAGGGTGCAGGGAACCAGTCCACACACGAGAACTGGTCAGGTCACGAGATGATGCAGAAAGCCCTAAGCAGCTTGGGTCAGTCACCGGTGGGAAATTATTAGGATAGTAAGGAATGACTAGTTGTCTGTGGCTTTTAATTCCAATTATTCATAGGAGTTAATGAGGGCTCTAACATGGTGGTAATGAACATGTGCATGTCCTATGCTCTTAACCACTGGATGTGGACAAGCCGCGGGACTCGAGAAAGGTGCCCTTGATTATTTAGCATCTGTGCTGCTGCAGGAGGTCAATTGCTTCATGACACAAAAACGAACCACCATAAAAAAAAAAAACGAAAATTTTAATTTTTTTTTCTCAGTGGCAGATTCACATCACTGTTCCGATATGGATTTCCAGTAAGTCTAAAATACTGCTTTTTGGAGTTGTAAAAATTCCATTACAGAAACACAGAGAACAGAGGATAAACAGAATCACATCAGTTTGTCAGATGGTTGTTCTAAACATTCTGTACCTTATTTTCCTGTAAGAAAAATGGGAGGAACCAAATTGGAAATTCCTTCAGCACAGGACGAGGGTCCGGGGGGTGGGAATGGGGGAACAAGCTAACAGGAAATGATGACATCAGTCATCTGGTTCATTGGCAGCCCTGGGTTTACGTCTCTGAGGAAGTTGGTCTGTTTGTGGGTACTTTGTATTATGTAGAAAACCTGTAATTTCAGAAAACCAAAGAAAATCTAAAACATATATAAAAACAAGCCATTGCTTTTCAATGTTTTTTTTCCCTTGAGACATGAACTGCTTTAAGTGAGAGAGGGGTCAAAAGCTTTAATGGACAACAATTTGTTATTCAACCGAAATATTTTATACAGACACTTGGCAGATTTGGTACATGGTTTAAAAGTGAAGTTTTACAAATTTTATCAAACTAAATTAATAGATGGACAGACTTTTCAAAAAAGTTTTAACTGCCAAATGGTCAAAACCTTAAATTGTTTTTAAATCTCAAGACTAGGGACCATAGGGAAAAAGCTACTCCTAACACATAACTGTTACTGTAACAAAGAGCAGGTTAACAGATGGCGTTAAAGAAAAAAAAAAAAAAACCATTTTAAGCTGTAAACACTGTTAAAAAGCTAGAGTTGTATTCCAACTTTAAAAGTATAACTGAAGTGGATGGTAATGTTCAAAACTATTTAATGTTCTTACAGAAATAATGTTATAATGTTAACACAGTTTATAAAGCACTGTGAATGAACACGCTCAACAGTGTGTAGTTTCAATGAATTTAAAATCACACATGATCAAGAATATCATTCACCAAGGACAGTCTTAAGGTGTCTAAAAAGATCTATACTAAAGGTTTGGACAGAGAAAGCAGGGATACGCTTGGTTTCTTAAAAGAGTCACAATACAGCAAATGCACATTATAGCTACAATTACACTAGTCACAATTTTTAATCTTACAGAATAAAGCTATAGTATGTGAAATTACAATATATTTATCTCCTTTAAAACCATTTTTAAAGAAGGGCACATCTGTCATTTTTTAGAAGTCAAAAAACCAGCAGAAAGATGTAACTGACAAATGTAGTCTTTAAAATATTTTGTGGCTAATTACATGCTAATTTTCAAAATACAACAGAATTTTTGGTCCATGAGGCCCATAAAAAACTAAATGCAGGTAAGGTATTCCCATTTGTCAAGAGAAATACAAAGTTCATGAAAAAATTTCAATACTTATTAAAACATCTGTTGCCAGAATGCTTTTTTGTGTGTGCGGTTAAACACTGAGAAGTATCTCTAATAAGTAATGGATAAGACAGAATAAACAAGGAAATTCGGATGCTTTAATAGGACCGTCTTGCAATCCTCTTTGGAAGGCCATCAGTAATAACACTGTCTTTGAATGTCAACTGACACAGTTCTTATTTCTTACATTAACATGTATCAGGACTTCCGGCTTAATAATCCTGGGTTTTCTCCCTCTGGGCCGGGGAGGCGCGAACGCTGCCCACCAGCCCAGCCAGGCCGCTGCTAAGGAAGGTTTTATTGCCCCACGGCCACACTGCTCATTTACTTTCTCATCTGCGCTGCGTTTGTGTTGTACGAGCCGAGATGAGCAGTTTAGAGAGACCAGATGACTCTCAAGGCCTGGATGAGTTCCTGCCTGATCCTTGACCGAAAAAGTTGGGTCAGTCCCGGCCCTAGGGAGTTTCCCAGGCCGATCTGAAATAATGCGTGCTTCTCTAGCTTGGATTAACTCACTTTCTCTGACGCTAATGCACGTGTGTAGTTCATGGATTTTACACTTCGTTGTATTTGTGGGTGTATACCTAGGAACTAGCTCATCTTGAGTAAGTCAGTTGGATAGCAAAAATGAGAACGAAAACAAATATACCTTAGGGTCAGTGCCATTAAATCGGGGGAAAAACAGCTCAAGAGTTTTCAACACACACACACACATACATATCCAGAGCCCTATCTAACCTATCACAAACTAAGAGCTACAACATAATCAAAGTATATTTGTTTCATAAATATATTACTGTCCATATACATGGATACATCCGTAAAAGACATGTTAAATAATTATCTGTATAATCAATACTACTTTAAGTTTTTTGTGTTTTAAAATTACACATTCTATTAAAATTATCAAAATAACTCTTTAAAAATACCAGGAATAAAACCACTGAAGAGTTGCTTTCCGTTCAAGTGGTTCTAAAACCTTCTCGTTGGTCACTGGGCTGCAGGCTTGGTCCTCCACAACTCAGACGTAGTTCGGTGAGGGGAAGGTCAGACCGACAGCATAACACCCTCTCCCGTTTTTCATACTTTCATGACAGGTATGTAGGCGTGGATGTATATATACATATAAAAATGCTCTTTTTTTTAAGTTATATTACATATTCTCATAAAGGAAATTTCATAAAAGCACAAAGTTCAAGTTTCTACCAGTATCACACATTTGATACTGGTGTGCGTTTCTTTCAAACGTTGAGGTCAATGACAAACTCTATCAGGATACAGAGATCGTAAACGGACGGAAAACAGACGTATCACGTGCAGGGAGGAAGCCGTGAGGGCCGGGACTCGGCCAGCTGGATGCTGCTCCCTCTCTACTGAGACACCGAGACCGTGAACTGGCTAATTACTGGGTAAAGTACAGCCAACTGTCAGGGGCCGAATGCTCCAATCGGAATTCTCTCTCTTCTAGCAGGTGACCGCTCTGGGCATTTCTCTGCTAACACCTCCCTCTCCAGTTATCTGCTATCAAATCTGGTAAAAGATAGGATTAAGGTGAAAGTTTTGGCTGCAATGAAGGTTGGGATCAGCTATGGATTTAATTTAGTGATGGATCCTTTTACTTATTGCTTGAGAGAATTAAGAATTTGCTGTATCTAAAATCTTCCAAATCTCTCATTCTTAAGCTCCGAAAGCAACATGGGTGCCCGAAAAAAAAGGGGGGGGGAGGGGACACATTGTTCTCTTGACCTAAGAAAACTCGTACTTCTTCACTCACAGGTCATTCTACTGAAGGCTTTCAGTGCGAGCAGTTTAGAGCTATTCACTTCAGGACAGGCAGTGGCGAGCTACACTCTTTCCATGGTTTAAAACCCACGAAGCAATGACAAATAGTTAGCTAAAAACACGAGCAACTCAGACTGAAAGTATGATACACAAGTCACTGAAGATCTTCCTGAAATCGATTTAGTAAAGTTTGGCAGAGTCTTCAGATAGTGAAAACGCTAACATGAAGAAAATGGGAGGAAAACCTACAATGTAAAAAGGATTTCATACTTAAAAAAAAAAAAAGGCTTAGAACATGACTAAAATAAACGGTACTCCACAACTGTAACCCTATTTTTGGCACTAGTTTACTTCTACACTTAAACTTGTTCTACTGAGAGTGACGGACGAAATCAGGGAGAAGAGATTCACAAAGTGAGCAGGGTCGCACCCAGACATCACTCAGAATGGTTTGCGTGGCACCGTCTGCATGGTTTCTGGGTACAGAGGAGGGCCACACTCACCTCAACAACAACAGCAATAATTGTGTAGAACACCACTTTCCTGAATTAAGTTTGCTGAACACGGTTCAGATTATTGGATATGTCAATATGCACAATGCCTTTTAGAAGCATTTACTGTATACCCAAATCCTACTTCGTGCAACACACAGTGTCACACAAGTAGTGAAAATGTTATCCTAGTCAAAGGTGCTTGGACATTATTTTCAGGCAGCATTTTACCTTTATTTTTAAGTTCTCGCTAGATAAGTTTTAGGAGAAAGAAAATGCCAATAAATGTATTTAATATATTTTAATATATTCTATAAAACTAAGACAGACACTTTTACTTACCTAAATTGTTACTTTTATCTTCTACCCTATCCTAGACCTCAATTGTACTTTAAAATTTTGTATTTAAATAAGGGATAAAATGTTGCCCAAAAGTCTAATCATAGTTACACATTTGTGTTTTCACTAGATCTACAAATCAAAATAGTTCTTATAGTTAAAAAGATACAATTTGTATCAACAGTAAAAGGTACTTTCTGGCTTTTCAGGGCTTTCCTTCAAACTGCAGCATGGAGAATGGTCGGAATACCCCGGGCATCGAGGCAGACGACAGACACAGATCAGGAGGGGGTCTGTCGCACGAAGTGAAACTCGGAGCCTGGAGGCAACAGTGAAGTCATGTGAGGTACCCGACTGCCCCTCAATGCGAGGTCTGTCTGCTGAGGACGAAGATGAATTCGCATCTAGCAAAACCCATGACTCTGAAACCAGAAATATCCCTTACTAATACTAGAACAGACTTTAGTCTGTAGCTAAAACTACACTATTTGTGGCAAGAATCTGGCCTTAATAATATAACAGGCCCCCCAAAAAACTACCTTCAGGAAAATGGAAAATATACAGTATCTTACAAACATTTTTAAGTTACCACTTACAACACGTCCACCACCACCATTCCTATAGTGCAGTATCGATAAATTTTGCATATCCTCAACACATACACCCACCTCAGGCCAGCCTTGATAAATAGCAGGAAAGCTAAAGAGTATATTAAATATAAAAGTTGCATTGAGAATAATTAGATTCATTAAAAACAGGCAAGTACTGTGAAAGGGTTCTTTTATCCAGTATTGTTGTGCCCCGAAACAAGAAGGACGAACACATTAAAAATACAGGTTAATGAGAATCTGGGAATTCAATTCCATTTTCTACCGTCTAGAAGCACATCATAGCTGGATAACAAAGCTCTAAACTGGAATAGTTACGGCTTTTGCCTTACTCGTTAAAAAAAAAAAAAAAAAAAAAATGGAAACAGTTTTTCCATTGATTGCATCTGCTTTCCTTTAAGTCAACCGTATTAAATTAATTAACAGAAAAAAAAATCCGAACAAAAATAAAACAATGAAAAGTGCCATATTGTAAATCATTCTAATATAGACTGTTACCCATTTCCATATAAACTGGTAACTTACATTTTGTTTAAAATATAAAGTCAGTGCTGTAGTATATCTTTGTTTCTATAAATAATGATTATAGCACAAAGAAGCCCACCTTCCCCAAATAAAAATAACTTAAAAAGCTGTAAAAGATTCCAATTAAGCTTGGCTTGCAAAAATAGTCGGCTAGGGTCTAGTCAAATGTTCGACATTCTGAAAGTATCGTAATTGCTTGCAATTGATAGACAAACACCAAGTTAATAAAACACGAAACAAGGATAAAAAGTGCTGCATATAAACCCCTGATGCACCAAAGATTAATATCAAAGATCACAGAGACATCTAATAAATCAAACTGGAAAAATTTCCAGCCAAGGAGAGAGCTTTAAAAAGGAAATGTTTAAAAAAAAGTTTGAATGTAAAGCAATCCCGTGATACTTCCACTACGTGGGGCTATCTATACATACAGATTCCATGATACAGTATTTCACATAAATGGATACTAGATAACCTCCTTGCCGAGAAGGAGATCACGTGTGCTATTGTAGCAAACCTCCCTCAGCATTTGAGCTGAACAAAAACTACTAAACACCACAAAGATGCATCATCTTTCAATAGCCCAGCTGTGACTTCTCCACCAGAATGGCCGCGGCGAGCTGCTGGGCGTCTGTCATGTGAGGGTTCCTTTTCATGACAGTTCTCACAAGGTCCGGGGGGAAGATGTTGCACAAGTTGATGTAGATCTTTTCTCGGCTGTCTTGGTACCTCGGAGGCTCCGGGGCCATCCCGCAGTACGGCACGCGCCACGCCGGCTCCTGCGGCTCGGGCAGGCTCTGGAAGGTGAACTGCTCGTACCCCGGCTGCGTGGAGCTGTCGGGCAAGGAGTAGGTCTGCCGGTAGCCGTACGCGTCCAGGCCGTAGCTCTGCCGCTCCCAGCTTCCCAGCCCTTCCTGCGGGGAGTAAGGCTTTCTCGGTCGGGAAGGCGAGCTGTCGTACAGCCGGGAGTCCGAAATGCTGTCTATGCGCGTGGCCACGAGGGACCGGCCCAGGTGGGGCGCCTTCGGGTGCGCGGAACTCGGGGGGGAGGGGTACTCGCCGGGGCAGCTGGAGCGGGCGCCCACGGCTGGGTGCTGCAGATGCACGGCCAGGTGCGGCAGAGGAGGCTTGTGATGGTACTTTGGTTCTTCGTGACTGTAGCTTTGCACTCTAGCTAAGGGGTCGTGGAAATTCTGCAGGAAGGGCTGGGAGTTAAGGCGGCTGTGCGGGCGCATGTGTTGGCACTTGAGATTCTCTTCCAGCTGAGGGTCGGGAGAACTGACGTAGGACCGGTCGTTGTACCCCACGTAGGAGTCGCTGCTCCCACAGCTCATGCTCCCTTCACTGCTGCAGTCAGAAGCTACGGAGCTGATCCTGTAATCTGTGTCCAGGGAGAAACGCCTTTCAGGACTGCGTGGGCCTGAGATACTCAGGTTTGAATATGCATTCAACATGGAGTAGTATCCGATGTCAACAGGCGAGTCGCATTTGGGATACTGTTCATAAGGCATTGGCGTTCCATGATTTTTGGTTGCCATCACCATTGGAGGATATTGTCCCTGGGGTCTTTGATCCTGAGGTGGGAAGTGAACTCCAGATGGAAGGCCATTGCTTAGAGATGTAGTGCTTTGGGGTTTTGCAGTAGAAGTAGCCGGGATACTAACTAAAGAGGGTACAGACCTGGTTTCCAATTTGTTTTTGGTGGGAAGCTTTTCCTCTAGGTCTTGGTAGACTTGGGTCCTTATGCTTGGGTCCGACTGCCTCTTTGGAGCACCTCGTTTGACGTCGGAAGTGCTGTCCGCTTTCGTGCTGCAGGGAACGCTGTTGCTCTTCACCAGTCCGCCTTCGTTGGCGGTTTTGGCCGCGGTATTTCTAGACATGGCACGAAGCTCATCGGCCACCGACCGCTGCGGCTGACTGCCCCTCTCGGGATGGTAATATTTGCACTTGTGTCCATAGGTACACTTCTTTCCTACGAAGAGGAACATTAATTAGGGAAAGCAGCGGTCCACCAGGCCCTGGCAGCTCAGGGTTTTAACTCGTGAGAGAAACAAAGGCAGAAATGGAAGGTAAGCTAAGTCGCTCCTCTGTCCCTTCCTCTGGAGACCTGCTCCCTTGCAGTCCTCCCCGCTTCGGTCCTCTCTAGAGTGACCGACACACTGGCTGGGTGATTAAGTCACCTCCAGAGGTTTGGGTTAATACCATACCCTGTGTCCTCAACTCCTCCCTGCCCATCCTCTTCCAGTCTGGCTTCACAATCAGGACCTTCTGTTCTGAAGAGCAAAACGTACCGCGGTAATGTGCTAAACCCCTGCCCATCTGAGGTGTAGCTCGATGTCAGAACTCCACGTTTGTACCTGCCCGATTAAGCAGAGTTTTTGGAACCCATGTTTTAACTCTGGGAAATGCATTTGCATGGAACTCGACTAGGTAAAAATAATTACTTTTTTTTCCCACGGCTAAGATGTTTAATTACAATTCAAAGAACCACATACTATGCCATCCAAAATATAACATATTTATTTTTATTGCCAAAAATTTAACAACAGACTGTGTTCTGAAGGCATATGTTAAATAGTTACAAGGAAAGTTACCGTATGGACAAGGCTGCTTTTTGTGTTCAGGAACAATAGGTTTCTTCCTCAGAAAATTATCCAGGCTTGGGCCGTGTCTGCCAAGAGGGTCATCAGGGGGCATGAACCTGTCAGGGACAGAATACGAAGTGATGTAGGAGGCTGATCATTTAATTCTGAAGACAGAGGGTAGAGACTGATTCACTCGAAGGTCTTTAAAACATTTTTAATCAAGTATTTTGACTCAGCGTTTATGGGGTAAAAAAATCTCAGTACACAGAATTTTCTTAATGAACACAAAAGTAGAATGTGTCAAGCTGAACTTGTACTGGTTTTAAGTCAAGTAAGTTTTGAGCCTTGCATGTTCTCATGAATTCTTTCTTCCCGTCAGTCTTGGGATTTTGTAAGGACTTCAGAAAACAACACAATGCCATTTTAGGGGGACTCCGTGAGCCTCGATCTTGTCAAGTATAGAGGCCGGGGAAGCGAGGAGCAGTGGACAGGAACACGGACAACGGACCAACCCCGCTCCCGGCCTGGGAACATGCATACCCCCTCCTCTCCTTTCTTCCTGACAGTGGGCCCTTCAGGTATTAATTTTTGCAGATTAATACACTTTCCTAATTAAGTGACTTTGATCTGAGTTCACGCTGCACAGTTGAGATTCCACATCGAACCCCACAGCCCACTCTCTTTGCGCCTCAGCAGAGAGATGGAAAAAATCTCCCGGATGCAAGAGTTCACGGCATGCATAGCACAACAGGAAGAAGTTACAACTGAAGAGCTCTGCTACTTGTTATGTCAATGCTGGAACTTGAAATGGGCCAAGCAGTTACCCATGAAATGTGAACAATGTTAAGGGAGTGTCAACGTGGCTAAGAACACTTAGCAAATACAGTGTTCACTATTTGTTAAAACAATGTGGCAACATTAAGAACAGAAGTGTCACTCAATCCTAGGATCTTAATACAACTATTTTCCATTCATGTGTTGCATTTTCGTCGTTTCTGTATGCATACACATTTCCCGACACAAATATAATTTTGTTTTGTCTTTCTAACAAATTTCCATGTTCCTCAATAGCCTTTATACTCATAATGCTGAAGAGCTGAAGAATATTCTGCTAGATGCAGAGCGGCTTAACCGATTTCTCTGTTGTACCTTCAGCTGCCTCTGAATTCTTGCAATTATAAAAAATACAGAAATGAACATATCTGGTCTTTTTCTCCTCAGACTATATATTCCCAGAAAGGAGATGATGGGCCTGAGAGGGTATACGTATTTCCAAGGCTTCTGTTAACCCACGCCAAACTGTGTGAGCAGTTTCACTGTATCTTTAACAGCACAGAGCACTTGCAAAAATATTTTTGTGAATTAAATGGGTGAAAAAATATGTTCTTTGTAAATTTAGTTCACATTTTTGATTATCAACAGGTGAACTTCCTCCCATTTTGGAAATACACTTATTTCTCAGGAGACCTGCTTTTTATTGTTCTCTGCCCATTTATCAACTTAATCATGACTGGAGTCTTACCATTGGTATAATATTTACAAAAATCACGTATTTTAAAAATAGATCTAAGCGATCAAGGCTCTAGGTAGATTCTGAAAGGCAGTGTTCTGGGGGGGTCGATATGTTCCAGAACCGTCCCTGTCCGTTCTGACAGATGTGCCATGTTCGCGTCCTACAGCGCAGGGGCCTGTCCCTCACCCACGGCTTCCTGAACCCCCCCTCCCCCGCTCTGGCCCGGGGATCAGAGGGAAGTAGGCTGTGGGGCTGTGGGAAGAGACGTGACTTGGGTCTGGCCTGTGGCAGGCGCAGCGAGGGCTCTGCGTGCAGGGAAGCAGGACCCCCCCGCCCTGCCCCACCGCCCCGTCAGTGAATGGGTTCACTTACTTGTCATTGACAAAGGAGTACATTAACAATCGCTCATCTATGAACTTCTTCCACTCCGGTTTCTCGTTTGCCAGGTCCCTGTAGTTGTCATTGGACACAATGATCCCGTCTGACTCAAAAGCCAGCTTCACGATGAACCGGTCATCATAGCACACCACCCGCCTGCCCTGCACTCGTCGGGATGGTGTGAACACCAGGATTTTCTCCTTCTCTAATTTCCGCAGAATTTCTTGATCTGCAAGGACGATCGGGGCAGAATTTCACGAGTAAGTACAGACATAACACACGGGGCAACTTGCATACAACGTGAGCTTTTATGAGAGGAACTGGATTTATGCCCTCATTTCATTAGGGATTATGATTTACAGTTTGTAGATGGAACACATTTTTAATTCCCAATATTTTTCCCTGAGGACTGCAATAATAACGGCTTTAAACATAGCCCCCAAAGTCATTAAAAACGGTTTAAAACTTTAACAGAATAAACATCCATTTGCTCAGTGATGTTTTTCATTACGCCGTTCTGACAATGCAGCTGTGTGGGGTTCAGGGGCGCCCGCGTCCTCCCCCCGCCAAAGCCCGTTTCTTTTGTTCTTCTGCTTTCTGACGAGTGGAGGTGATGGGGGAGAGTTTGAGGAGCACTAGTAGGGCCCCTGAGGTGGCGGGGAAGAGTCTTACGATGCGGAAGGTTCACTGAGGACACAGTGGAGGAAGTACTGTCACTACGGACGTGACCTTCCCGTTTCGGGTCCTTTCCTAGGAAACACGTGGCAACAAGTGCAGCATCCTCACAGGGTGGACTGCGTGAGGAAGGGCTCAGATGTGAGTAGAGGGGAAAGCTGCCCCAGACGGAGTAAGGCTAACGAGAGGAACGCTCCTTGTCTTCTGTGGGCATGTTCTTCAGCACTTTGTAACTCGGACTTGTTTAGAGGGGTTTGGGTTTGTTTTGTTTTTTTAAAGGTGCTGGCGTTCCTATTTTCATTAACGATAAAAGTTCTCTCTCCACCATCCCTTCTTCCTACTTGGGCTCCTCTACCTCCTGTCTTCCCACAATTGTACATTCTGGCCCAGAGTCAGGAGGTCATGATTGAAAAAAAGAAAAAAAGGAAAGAAAAAAAGTCTACTTCTCCATGTTTATTAACTGCAATTACTAATTTTTAAAAAATCTCTGTCTTCAGGGGAGACCAGGTATGGCGTGCCAAGTATTAATGGTCACCAACATTAAGAATGACCTCTCCTTAAGAAGGTGTCAGTCACCAGACAGACACGCAGATAGGTGAGCAAGGGCTGTAATCGCCGCAACAGGGTACTGGGGATGAGCCAGGGTCCCTCGGAGGGAACAGAGAGGGATTAGGGGTCGGCTGGCTCCGAAGCTGGCGTATAGACGTCATGATGTGCCTGACATGATTTCATCAGGACCGGAACATTGGTTTAGAAGCGCACCAGAGCAGAATTGCTGGAAATGTGGGTGTTAGAAGCAGCAAATCATGCAGAAACCTCAGGTTCTGGCATTTTCTATATCTGGCAGTCATCCCTTATTGAGCCTCCGAGGCAGTCAGGAGGCTAGAAGTCAGGGAGCTGTCACACACGTAAGCACTTAGCACAGAGCCTAGCAAGCTCTCAACACTGTTCAACTGAATTTTAACAGCTGTAACTGTTGATCTCTTAATTACAGAAAACCAGGACAAACTGAAAAGCTCAGTCTCAACTACAGGATTTGTCATGTTATAATTATTTTTGTGTGTTGCCCTGATAAATGAAATGTTGTCCCTGCTCTCAAAATGTTTATCTCTATTTCCATTAGCGCTCGGCCCAGGAAGCACAGCAGGAGATACTCAGTAAATGTCTGTAGAATGAATGCATGGGGTACTTAGAGATGGATCTTCTTAGGTCTTCCAGGTTAGCGACTATGTTCATGAATAAGCCATGCTACTTTATTTGTGGAAGTGTTTACTCATACACGATACGCCACGAAGTGATTAGAGAAATAAGTGTGGTGGCCTAAGGGTCAACATCATCTTGCTTCATTTGCTTTTTCTAGAATAGCTAATGAGGTAAAAAGAATAGCCAATCTGGACAAATAATCCTAACTTAAATAGATACGGGTTCAGTATGGCTACTAAGTTGAACTGAATCTCTAATTCCTAGCACAGCACCTGATACAGAGCTTTGTGCTTATAAAATCGGTGTTATCTCACTGGAAAAAGCGCTCATCTGAATCTCTATGGGAGAGCCTGAAAATGTGGGTCAAGTTTCCTTTTTTGTACAGTGAAAAAATAATGGACTATTCAATTTACCAGGTTTTATCTGGTTGAAGGTTTTAGTTAGAATTATTACCCAGGGGGAGAAAACACCTCCGGACCTTTGAGCAGCCCTAAAGGCAGGGGTTAGGGTGCTGACTCCCTCACTTTTGAGCCCCCAGAACTTAACCACCGCATGGAAGCCACGTCTTGTGTTATGTGTATTCTATACTGTATTCTTATTATGAAGAAAATCATAAGCGAAAATATGTTTACTATATGATAAAAAGTCCGTTTATAAGTGGACCCAGGCAGTTCAAACTTGTGTTGTTCGAGGGTCAAGTGGAGCTGAATGCAGTTTACAAAGTACACTGCATCGTGATGCATTCCAGAGCCCTGGCGTGCTGGTACTTTAAAAATTAAACTCAGACACACCTGCCATGCCCATGATCCTTTTCCCTTCTTGGGCTCCTGTTCCTTTCATGTTCAAGCTTTCCAGTCATTTACATGTTTAAATATTGTTTTCTCTTTTTCGATTTACTTTCCCCCTGATTATTAAAAATATTCTAAGTTCCTTAAGCAAAATTAAGAAAGTAAGGGAAAATACTCAGAAGTAGGGAGAAATAAAACCTCAAAGTCATGACACAGAGTCAATTACTGTGAACACTTTGGCATATTTCCTTCTAGTCATTTTTTATGTATTCTGTTCTTGCCATCATTGGTCTAGGTATAAACTTCTATGGAAAAGGGCACTTCCTTAGATCATTAGAAATTCTGCCTAAATATTCTAATACATATTATAACTTCTTGAACCAGTCTAGTGAATATAAATTTCAATAATAATGCACTGGATGTCTTTGTGGTTCTAAATCTTTGCCTGTAACACTGCTTATTTTCTGAGGAATTATGCCTAGAAGGGGAACTAGTAGATCCAAGAATATTAATATTTTAAGACCCAACTGTTCTTTAGAAAGGTTGTATCAATTCATTTCCACAGCAGTGAAGGAAGAGGTCCCAGAGGCTTACCAGTTTTTCAATCTGCTAATTTGATGGGTGAAATACAAGAGTTGTTTAAATTTGTCATTTCTTGAGCTGCTAATGAGGCTGAATTTTTTTCTCTTATTGGGCACCTGCGTTCTGTGAGCTGTCTATTCCTACCACATTACCATTTATATGCTGGGGAGAGCTCTGTTTGTTTTCCCAGCGTCTGCGAGCTCTTTAGATGTTAAGGACATGGATTCTTTATTTGTTGTATTTTTTTCCCCTTAGGCAAATAAAAAAGTTCTCATTTTAAAGAAAATTTTCCAAAATACAGAAGTTTAGATTTTCATGCAATGAAAATTATCTTTTCCTTTGTAATTTCCTCCAAAAATTTTAACTTTAGTAAAGTTTTCCCCAGCCATTCAAAGACTAGTGTTTTTGACAATTCTTCAACCATCTGGAATTTACTGTTATATGGTGGAAGATAAGGATCTAAATATGTATATTTTTTCCAAAAGTTATCCAATGTCTTGGTGCTTCTGGTTGAATTCTGGCATACAGTTTATATAGACTAGGGTCTGATTCCACAGCTCTGGACTCCACCATGTCCTGCCTATTTATTCCTACCCTGGCTCAAGTAATGACTTGATGATTAATCTTCCCTTCAGGTATGTGGTCTCTCTGTTTTTGATTTGAAAAGTATAGTTTTCTTCACACAAGTTCCTCAGTTTTTGTTAATGTTGGAGGTGGGCAGAGGGGCAGGAAGGGTTAACTTCAGCAAAATGTTCAGCAACAATCATTAACAGTTTTTGCCTGAAACTCATACATTTTTAAATTACATTTTAAATTAATGTAAAAATTACAAAATAACACAAAATACACTGTATTGAGACGGAGTCCCTTCCTTCTACTTGACCCCAGAGAGCAGAGCTCCAGGGTCCTGCAGGTCTGTTGTGAACTACATCACTGACTTCATATTGCAGAAAGAGAAACAGAGGTCCAAGCATGTTGCTCAAAGTCCAACGGCTAGTAAGTGGCAAAACCAGAATTTTAATCTAGGTCTCCTGACTCCTATGCATGTCCCAAAGTCAAAATTTTACAAACTTTGAAGTAAAAAGCTTCCAAATTACAAAAAGAAAACAACCCCAAACCATTGGTTTATGGAGCAAGGATTGCTGTTTCCTTATCATCAGAGTTGATGGACATCTTCATCAGTGCAACATCTGACAGCGTCTGATGACCTGCCCGGGTACGTCTGAAGCTATGACCAGACCGCTCCCAGGGCTTACCTGTGATAAGAGCATCAGGCCGGGACTGCTCTTTTCTCCAAGCCGGAACAAAAACTGTAACATCTTTGTGGCCTCTTTCCAAAAACCAATCCACTGCCAATTTGATTCCCCGGCAGGAAAATACTTCTTTGTTTCCATGGCTGAAATATGATTTTAGAACACGTAAGACACAACAAAATAAATTCAACTTAATTCAAATTTGTCAGCATAAATGACCACCTAATTACAATAGTGATGGACTTCAAATTTAAGATGGAGTTGTACAGCTCAGAGAAACACAGAAAACCTGGAAAGCTGAAAATCTGTGAGGAAACATGAAAATTGGGATCATTCTTGTGGGGAGAAAAAAGTGAGTTTTTCCAGTGTCAAGTTGTAAAGGTTAACTAGTCTGAAAGTTTTAATCAGGACGGGGGAGAAAAGGAAGGGGTCTCCACCACAGCAAAAACTTCAGTCAAATGTGAAAGAAGTCACCTAGAAAAAAATCTGTAAACAGAAAATCATGTTCACAATGCTTAATTGCCTACAAGAAACACTTCCCATGTCCTTTAAAAAAGACACCTGCTTTTAACAATATTGTGTTGGACAAGGATTAATGATGACAAAAGGGCATTCAAAATTGGATTAAGCAGTCTTAGCGCCTACAAGAAAATGCTCAGATGAAAGTGTAGTCACTCAATAAATACTTAGCTAGCACCAGGCTCTGCCTATGCACTTTAACCTAGTAATTCAAAAATTAACACTGATTCTAATGTTTGTTTGTAAAAGAAACAGTCTCCTGCTTTGAATATAACAACTGTTTTTTTGTATTTTTTTTTTGCAGCTTGAACTCCACAATGGAGACAGATATTCTTCACTCCTCAGTGTGAAGGAAATAAGGTAAGTAAATGCTCTGCTAATTTTTAGCACAAATCAAATATTAGGTGTATTAACATATTCTACTAGACCCCTTGGGAAGTACTAGAACCATCTAAATAATCATTTCAAGGACAAAACAGAAAGACCAACTTGCTTTGTAGATCCTAAAGCCTATAAATGCAAATCACACAGACTGTTCCTGTTCCATAGAATGGTCTGGGGCAAGGTGACAGGTGGACTCAGATGTAGTGGAAGTTTCAGAGGGAGGGATAAGGGAAGCAGGAGTTTGAGGTCCTGGTTCCTAGGTAACTCAGGCTACTCGATGGCCCTGCCAATGCCCCAGCAAACGACACACAGTGATGCTGAGTTTCATAGAAAATACTACAATCAGTCTTCTGAAAAACTATAGAAAAGACTGGTATCATCTCTTGAGAGAATATACATATTATTCCTAAATACAAACATTCACTGACACCTGACCATATTTTTATTTTGTATTAATGCTTTGAAATCTAAGTATATTGTGCCTTGCTAGTCGTTAATGACATGTGGTTTCCTGAGGCTTGAGCATTTAACTGTTTCTGGCTCTAAAGAGAGCACTGCATCAGCACTTTCTCCCTGGTGACTTCACTTGGGAAGGGAAATGGTCACATCTGACTCAGAAGATAAGATCTTCTATTTCTGCAAAGAATGTTCACAAGATGTGTGGCAACAGCAAATCATTTACAGTCATGGGACAAAGATTCTCTAGATGCTGAAACAGGTATTATCTCATCTGATACTGACAGTAAAGGTTGTTACTGCTCTCTCCTTGCCCCACAACCGCCCCCGCCCCCAGCCCGCCCCGTGCTCCCATCCAACAATACCTCATAGGGAGAAAGCCAGCAAGAGGATGAAAGGTGTCACAGTGTGAATGATACACAGACACATACAAAGAGCCTGGGTTTCTGAGCGGATGGATCCACACCTATCTCTGATCTTGTTATTTGAGAAAAAATACCTCCTCTCAATTTAAGAAACTGTAGGCAAGTTTTCTATCATTTGGAGCTAGACTAAAGAAAACTTGGAAAGCTCTATGAATATGTATTTTCATGTAAAAACGTTAGAAGGACAAAACTATCAAATAATAGTAAAAAGAGAGTTCACAAGGATGCTATAATAATTGTGAACTGAGTCTCCAAATGAGTAATGCAAAAATGATTGGATTAGTAGAAAGAAAATATTAATTGAATGATGGAGCAGAAAATGTAGTAAGAATACAGACTAGAACAATCAATTACAAGCTTGATCTAATGGACATACACAGAAACCTGCACAAAATGAGAAAATCATTTCAAATACATGTGGAAGATTTATGAAACTGGCTATGTACTAGGCCCCAGAACAGATTACAACAGACAGCAAGAAACTGTATCATACAGACAATATTCTTGGACAATGTTATTACATTGAAGATACAAGGTTCTAGTTCAAAAATCTGTATTGCTTTACACTAGCAAACCAATTTAAAATTTTAACTAAAAAATCCCATTTGTAGGGGCACCTGGGTGGCTCAGTCAGTTAAGTGGCTGACTCTTGATTTCAGCTCAGGTCATGATCTCAGGGTCCTGGGATTGAGCCCCGTGTCAGGTTCTGTCCTCAGCAGAGAGTCTGCTTCAGGATTTTCTCTCTCCCTCTGCCTCTCCTCCTTGTTCACACACACTCTCTCTCTTTCTAAAATAAATCTTAAAAAAAAAATCCCATTTGTGAAAGTAACAAAAACTAAAATCTAAAGATGAAAAGATAGACAAGAGCTTTATGGAGCAAACCAAAATGGAAAGCCTGTATTGAAGGGCATAAGTGAGGACCTGAATGAAAGGAACAATAATATACCATTTTCATGGATGGCGAGACTCTATTTATGAAGATGGCAATTCTCAGATTAATCTGTAAGTCCACTGCAATTCCAATAAAAGTCCTCAAAGGGATTTTTAGGGAACCCGAGAGGCTCATCCTAAAATTACTATGAGAAAACAAAAGACCAAGAATGGTTAAGCAATATTGAACAAAAGAGGAAGAACTTTCCTGTTAGCTGCAATACGTAGTATAAAACTACAGAAATCCAATCAAGGTTATACTGGTACACACAAAGATTAAAAAACAAAATATATAACAAGAAGGTAATACATGTGTATAAGTGACATTAGAAATTAATGAAGATGGACCATTTACCATGGTCCTAGGGCAACTGATTATTTATATGGAAAGCAACTATTTTTATCTCCTACCATACACAAAAATAAACTGTAGATCAAAGATTTAAATATGAAAAATACTGTAAAACTTGTAAAAGAAATTATAGGACATACATTAGGATGGGGAATTTTTTTTTTTTTTTAAAGATTTTATTTTAGAGTGTGTGCACATGTGTGGGCAGGGGGAGGGGTAGAGGGAGAGAAGAAAGGATCTTAACCAGTCTCTGCTGAGCACAGAGCCTGAAACGGGGCTCAATCTCATGACCCTGAGATCATGACCTGAGCTGAAACCAAGAGTTGGAGGCTTAGCAGACTGAGCCACCCAGGTGCCCTGATGGGGAAATACTTCTTAAAGACGACACACAATCATGTGCTATCAAGGAAAAGCATACATAAAGCTTTATGCAAAAGAATAAACAAAAATGCCATAGATTGGGACAAGGTATTGCAATGTATAGGACCAAAGAAAAGGTAGTACTCAGAGTATATAAAGTACTCCTATACATTGAGAAGGGTAACCACTTTTTTAAGGCAAAAGATATGAACAGTGAATTCAAAGAAGAGGAAACCCAAATGACCAACGAACATATGAAAAGATGCTCAATAGTGAAGACATGCAAATTAAAGCCAAAAATGAGACATCACTTCACACCCATCAGATTGGAAAAAATAAAGTCTGCAAACACCAGATGTTGCCAAGGATGTGTGAAAGTAGGAACTCATACGTTACAGGTGGGAGTGTAAATTGGTGTAACTATTCAGGAGAACAATTTGGCAGTACTTTATAAAGTTGAAGGCGTGCTTTCTCTAAAACATAGTAATTCCATATCCAGGTATAGTAACACCCCACACTAATATGAAATCAGGTTCAATGCAATTAGCAATCGGCTCTCATGCTTGACCCAGGCTCAGGGCTCACATGGGGGTGGGAGAGGCAGGCAAGGGTGGGTGTGTAGAGGAGGTCTCTGAGTCTCTGACACTTTCCCAGACGATCTTTTCCTCCTGATCAGACCAAAGAAATGAGTGCTAACCACGAAATCCCTGGAATGGTTGTTGTTGCCTTGGAAGTGCCTCCCAGCTACCAAGGCCCAGAATCATCCCCAGAAATATTAAAAGCCCAAGCAGATAAATGACCGGTGGTTCCAAACTGCAGCGGGGACGTCTACAGACTAGGAGAGCTTTAGGAGACTGAACTCAATCTCCCCTTACTGAGGCGTGCTGAAGGATGTGCATCATCATATGTGCTGGATACAATACTTGTAGAAGGTTCTGATAAAGAATGATAAAAACGGGACATCAGAGCAAGCACACTGTAGCTCCTGGTGCAAATGAACTATCAGTTGAGTATTTACTAAAATAAGTAGGATGATGTTTAAGAACTGAAGTTTTAATTCCATATAAATAGAGAAGAAAATTCATTATAGTTCCGTAGTCACTTAGGGCTATGTCTGCATGCAGTAGTAAAAATAGCTAATTCTATATTTATGAATTGGCATGTTCTTTTGGGCCTTGATTTCTTTTTTATTTCAACAATTTGGCAATAAAGATGGTATACCTCATGTGAGTCCCTCTGATGCTGAATTTGTTGGAAGATCTGTGGCCATCTTTGATTAGGTAAGAGACCCTGAATGTTTGATAAAACATGTCCTTTTGACTCAGTGGGATTGGGTTCCCAGGGAAAATTCCAAACTCTCACTGCAAATTCTGAGTTCCTGTATAACACAGGCTCAAAGTTGGCATGTGATTCACCACTGGCTTTAATGGTAGAAGAATACAAGAAGTCTACCAGCAGGTAACTTTCTCAAAAGGCTTATTTTACTCTGTTCATGTTTGGAATAAGCATGCTTGGGCACCTGGGTGGCTCAGTTGGTTAAGCGACTGCTTTCGGCTCAGGTCATGATCCTGGAGTCCCGGGATCGAGTCC